CATATGGAAATGGAGAAACAGCAAAAATGTACATCATTTCTTGACAAAACCAAAATATTAACCAAGCTTTATTTTTCATAAAATGAGAGATTAAAACTAAACCATATTAGGAAGGAGTAAAAGAAACAAAACTACTTGCATAAGAGAGATTTAATAAGTTGTGAGAATTGTGCAGCTGGAATGGAAAAGAGGGAGAGGTCAGGAAAATCCTAGTTATTCAAAATATGAACTGTCCTCTTTTTTAAGTAATTGGGATTATTGCTTTGATTTTTAGCCAATGCATAAAGAGAAAAATGTAACCCACCTACGCTGGAAATTAGACATTCTAAGACCAAAGTATTTGGCTTCTCAGTGTGGGGCCCATGGTTTAAATAGAGAGCCCTCTGGCGAGCAATGGAATAACAGGATCTGCTATTTGGCTGTGGTGAAGAGAGTTGAAGGATGATCTCTAGATCAGCGCTTCCAGCCAAAAGGGAAATCTTGTCATTAGGACTCTTGATCATTTCTCTTTACCATTTACAGATGCCCATCATGTAGCACAGCTTCAGTGGAAACCCTTCCCAGAGAATGAACATAATGTGCCTGCCCACCCTGGAGGATGCTATGGTGCAGCCCTGAGGGAGGGAGACACAGATGCATTAAAATCAGAAGAATGAATTACAGTCAGCTCTAGGAAACCTAACCAGGATTCCTGAAAGGGTTTTGGGTCTGGTACACAAGGAGGGGAGAGAGATGACTTGATGTGCAAGAGAGGGCTGGTCAGGAAAAAAGCATACAAAGGCTAGAAATGTGTATGTGGAGAGAGGGATTAATTTCTTAGTGTCCTGGCCCCTGGATTCTATAGATCATTCCATACTGGATGTTTGAATGTTCACTGACTTGGAATGAAACTCAGAACTAGGCAGAGAGTGGAAGGAAAGAATGAATGAATGCAGCTAATCTATGTAAACAAGACTTTTAAAAGTGTAAGTAAGAGATATGTGGTATAAGTAAATGCAAAGAAAACCTCATAGGTACACATTATAATCAAACCACTGAAAACCAGACAGAGGAAATGTTAAGACAGAGAAGGATACAATATTTTCAGAAAAGCAACCAGACTGATAGCTAACTTCTCAACAGAAGCAATGGGAAAAAAAAAATACAAGTGCTAATCTGGAGTACCTGCTTACCTAGAATTCTACACCCAGTGGGAGGAAGGGTGCCAACACTAAAAATCTATCATTTTAGCAATTTTCAAATATACAATAAAGTGTTATTAACTATATGACCATAATACACAATAATCTTTTGGATTTATTCTTCCTGTATAAGTGAACTTTTGTGACCTTTGGCTATCTCCCCAATATTCCATGCCCTGTCTCTCTGGTAACTACCATTTTACTCTATGAGTCTGACTTTTTAGATTCCACTCATAAGTAAGAGCATGCAATATTTGTCTTTATGTGCCTGGCTTATTTCACTCAACATAATATCTTCCAGATTCATTCATGTTACACATGATAAGATTTCCTTATTTTTAAAGGCTGAATAGCATTCCATAGTGTATATATGCTTCACTTCTTTTATCCATTTCTCCATCCACAGACACTTGGGTTGATTCCACATCTTAGCTATTATAAATAATGCTGCAATAAACACAGGAGTAATGTCTCTTTGGCATACTGATTTCGTATAGTTTGGATATATCTCCAAGCAGAATTGTTGGGTAATAAGGCATTTCTATTTTTAATTTTTTGATCCTCTACATTGTTTCAATTTTGGCTGTCTTTATTTACATTCTAACTAACTCTATACAGAGTTCCCTTTTCTCCCATCCTCACCATAATTGTTAATATTAGTCTTTTTGTTAATAGCCATTCTAACAGGTGGGAAGTAATATCTCATTGTGGGTTTAATTTGTATTTCTCTAATGATCAGTAATCGCTTTTTCATATACCTATTGGCCATTTGTACACCTTTTAAAAAGAAGTGTCTATTCAGGTCTGTCATGGTTTGGATGTAAGGTGTCCCCCACATTATCACCACCTTAAAAATATCAAGTCTTGCGATCAGTGAACACAGGGTGCCTTTCCATTCATTTAGGCCTTCAGTAATGTTTTATAGTTTTCCATAAAAGTCTTTCATGTATTTGGATAAATTTATTCTAAATATTTTATTCTGATCTAGGAACCGATTTTCTTAATGTTCTTTTATTAGTAGTGTATAGAAATACAATTGATTTTTGCTTATTGATTTTATACACAGCCACTTTGATAACACACAATTTGCTAAGATGTACTGTGCAACCTGATTGGGGAATTAAATAAATTGAACACATTCAATTGAATGCATTCTCCTGTTCTTTCCTGGGGAATACACTACAATTTGGATTTTAGCCAAATGTTCTGACTCTAGAGCTCATGCTTTAAGTCTCTGTGTGATCATTTCCCAATGTTAAGTATTCCTACTTAGGAAATGAATGTTTTTACACTTATTAAGATCTTGCTTAATATCAAAATAATTTTATAGGTCTCCTTATAGCTAATTTCCTTCTTATCAATTTTATTTTTATTTCATAATATGTCAGTAAGAGGCATTGAGTTATTTTTAAATTTTAATTTATTTATTTTTTATTTTATAAATTGATTTAAAAAAAAATAAATTACAGCGGAATGCATTACAATTTATAATTGGCTATTATTAGAAAAAAGATAAAACTATTCTGTCAACATATTTATTCTATATCTTGTCTTTTCTTAGTTCTAATAAACTTTGAGTCTCTTGAACTTTCTGGGTCTATAATTATCCTCTCAAATAATGATTATTTTGGGATTTCTCTAAACTTTCATTTTCCTTTTCTTTTGGACTAACTAGCCTCTCCCAAAGTCTATGGAATAATAGTGATGAAAGTGGTGACCATTCTCTGAGTTTTGATTTTAAGTGTAAATGGTTTTGGTTAACGAAACATTTTCTATTCATTCATTTATTCATATATTGTCATATTAAGGAAGATTTTTTAAAAAATATTTATTTTTTTTTAGTTTTAGGTGGACACAATATCTTTATTTTACATTTATGTGGTGCTGAGGATTGAACCCAGTGCCCCGCACATGCAAGGCGAGAGCTCTACCATTGAGCCACAACCCCAGCCCAAGGAAGATTTGCTTTAGTTCTATTTTAGTTAGCACATTTGGAATGCATTTCAGTCTCTCTGGTGACAGAATCATATATTTTGTTTTTTCCTATTACTTTGATAAGTTATTTGGCAGAATTCTGATATTAACCCTATGCAGGCCTTCAAACCTCCAGTGGCCAATCTTACTCATGAAAACTGACATAAAATATACAAAGGAAAAAAAAAAACCAAACAAATGGAATTTACAATGTATAAAATGACTCAGATATATCTCTAGAAATGCAAACTTGGTTTGAGATTAACATTTCATATAGATGCAATGCAATTCCAGTCAACGTCATTTGTGAAATTTGACAAGCTAATTTTAATATATGTATATGTTTAAGAAAAGCCAAAGCACCTCTAAAGAAGAATTGGATAAGTATGTCTTATCAAATAGTGGGCTATATTGGGTATAACACCACAGTGGCCTCAAAAGCTCAAGTGTTAAGACTTGGTCCTCAGTGCAGCAATGTCCAGAGGTGGAGTTTTTGGAAAGTGATTGAATCATGAGGACTCTAACCTCATCAGTGAATTAATCCATTTGATGAATTATTAGTTTGAATGGATTACTGGGATGAGGTGGAAATGATGGGTGGGTGGGGTGTGGTTGGAGTAAGACAGTCACCTGGGGTGTATTCTTGAGGTTCGTATCTTGTCCCTGGCCTCTTCCCCCTCCCCTTCTTGGCAGCCATGAGCTGAACAACTTTCCTCTTCCACATGCTTCTGCCATGATGTTCTGTCTCACCTCAGCCCCCAAACAAAGGAGCCAGCCAACCATGGACTGAGACCTCTGAAACCATGAGCCGAAGTAAATATTTCCTTCTCTTATTTGTTCTTGTCAGATATTTTGGTCACAGTGATAAAAAAGTGACTAACAAAATGAGAAAGGATGGATTTTTCAATAAACATTACTTAGATAACTGAGTGTCTACATGAAAATAAAATCGATCTTTATATCATAGCTGAAAAATCAGCCCTCCAAATTATATAATATGTGGGTAAGGCAAATTTCTAGGGCCAAAAGAAAATGACAGGAGCAAGGGGTGGATTTCTCTAAAGAATTTAATTCTAACTTTAAAGATATTTCCTATAGTACCTGGAATTGAGGACAGTGCCTCATTCAAGTGAAATACTTAGGTAAAGAACTCAGTAATAGGAGTACAAAAAACCATCTCAACTGAGACCCAAGAAAACAAACAAACAAACAAACAAACAAAACAAAACAAAACAAAATTCAGGGACAAATTGTTAATCACAATGGTGGCATAAGATCTTAAAGAAAGAACAGATTTGGGCTCAGATAGCCATACTGTTCTCTGCACAGCTTGGCTCCAAGTATTCATAGGGGATGTCTAGTTGCTCATTCTGGGGCCACAGATGCCCTTTCCACGTTGTCCAAATATGTTTGAAATTGCATTAGCACAGCCTTGGCTCGGGGTTTGAGAAATATTCCTCTTTGTGATGCCCCAGGGCTACCTGAAACAAAAAGAAATAATGAATTTTCTCCTAATTCCAAGGCACAGGGATGCAGAATACAGCTCTTACCTTGATGTTTCTCCTCTAGTTGAAAATATCCCCAGGTGCAGAGGTCCCCACTCACCATGTCTGGCTGCCATCAACTCAGGAGCCATGTACTGGTCATTTGAAGATGGGTCTGTCAGATATCAGGTAGTGACTTCATCACTGTGGCCATTTTCACAACTTCCTTTGTTATCTGCATTGAGCATGGGGTATTGGGAACCCAAGCGAGCCAGTTGAACTGGGGTAGGGGGAGAATCTGAATGCATCACAACTCTGATTTTAGGACACTAACTCTCCTAATTCTTCTTCAAGCATTCCCTAGCCAAGATACCTGCTCTCAGGGACCTTGGCTTCAATTGTTCATACCTGGTCCTGGTTGATGGCTGAATATTGGGCAATGCGTATGAAGCTGCATATGGTAAGGACATGACAGAGCTGATCTGGAGACTGGAAGGATACAGGAAAACAAAGGAGAAGAAAGATTGATATTTACAAGCTGTCAGCCTCAGAGGTAAGAGGAAACTAAATGTTGATGTCAGGATGTTGATCCCTTAGAATCATTGAGTATTCATTTGGTTATTCAAAATGTATAGAAATACTTTGTATCAGGCATTCTCTAGGCTTTGGGGATATGTTTGTACATAAAACAGATAAGAATCTCTTCTTTCTTTTACTTTAGATTTTAGTAGGAAAGAGAGATAATAAACAGAATAATTACACATAACGTGTTAAGCAGGAAAAGGGAATATGAACCATCAGGGAGAGGTAGTTAATAATTTTAAAAATTCATGGGAAGTATTGCTCAACTCTGCGAGCCCTGAGTATTAGCCCTGGCTCTGTTGCTGACCAATGGCATCACCTTGCACCAGTTGCTTTGCTTCTTCGAGCCTCCGTATTTTTTTCTGAAAATGGGCATGACAGTTGCTTAAAAAATGAGGTGACCTATGTAAAGCCCCTTAGTATATTGTGACTGTCACTATGGTAGAATTTGGAGGGTGAGGAGATCTAGTAGGCTGTGTGATAAATAGGTCAAATACTCTCTTGTTTAAAAAAGTATTTTAAAATTAAAGGATAAAGCAAACAGAGGGAAAATAGTAAACAACTTCAATAGGTATTTCCCAAGGAGACTATCCAAATGGGTATTAAACCAAAGAAACGTTTCTCAGCCCAACTAATCATTGGGGCAATACAACTTACACTCATAGTGTGATAACATTACCTACCTATCAAAGCGGATAAAATAAAAAGAAAGATATTTTTCATGTGTTTGAGAGGACATGACTATAACTTATACCCTGCTAGAAGGTGTGGAAATTGATACAACCATTTTGGAATTTTCAGTAGCTGCTAAGACTGAACATGCACATACCCTATGACCCATCATTTTCACTTCTAGAATCTTTTGGAGCATGTGGAGACTAGAGACCAAACTGAGAAGTATTACAGAAATTTTGGTACTGGAAAGGCTGATGGGGTGGTGTGGGGTTGGTGGGAGAAGGCACAGTTTTAGATCCTTCAAGGTAAGATTCTACTCCATGGGAAGGGTATTGACTATTCATCTGTGTATCTGCTATTGATTATTTATCTGTGTATCTAGTTAAAATAGCTCCGAAAATTCTAATAGATGTCCCACAGAAGCAGAGAAGGGAATTCAAGGGATTGCTCTTAGGTATGAAGGGTCTAGTGTGGTCGATGGGTATTAGAAAAATATGAATATGGGAAGAGGTCAAGAAAGGCTATTTGTTCTTCAGAGCCTAAAATATGGGATGGGGGTACTGAAGATAATAGCCAGATCCCAGAGAGGAGGGTGGTTTGACAGCCTCAAGGATCAGGGCACTAACTTCAGGTTTGAGCCAGAGTATATGTAGTACTGGGATTGCATCTAGAAATGACCTTGCACTCTGGAGAGTGTGCAGAATGCCTAGGCCTTCTGTGCATGCTGGATGGTAGGCAAGAAAAGGGTCAGGATGGGTCATCATAGGCTTTGGTGGGAAACTTTTCCCATCTATATCTTCAGGCAGGAAAATAGGGAACCATGAGACAGACATGAGCTCCAGCACAGAATGGACAGAATCCCTCACTGGCTGTCATTGTGGCCTCATTGTGCCCCAGATCATGGCAGGTTATGGGCATCTGTGACTGGGGTGGGGATTAGGAGTAGGGTTGATGGCCAGGGTCTCTGAGGAAGACAATCCTTGAGATCTAGAATTGTCCTGAGTCTTAGGGGGTTGTAGATTTAGATGCTTTCATGTGTAGAGGGAGGGTTGGTGTACTGTCCCAGAGGGGCAGAGCTGGGAAGAGACAGGCATTATTGAGGATCTCCTGTCTATGGAATGGGCCTTACCATTGTCTAGGGCCTGGCACAGCCCCACCTCGGTGATCTCCCAACACTAGGCCTGCAGTTCAGGGTCCCCCGCTCATGACATTATCCCTCTGGTGGAAGAGGTGGACAATCCTTTCTGCCCAGAGAAAGGAGCTGAGCTCTCTGATGGCAGGAAGCGCCAGCCTGACCTCTATTCCTCTAATCTGGCATCTGCCTGGCTGACTCTCACTAGTACCTGGTTCAGATTCTACCAGACTGGCTCCTTGGAACATTCCCCAGAGTTTTGGCATGCTGACACAAAGGAAGGAGATGTAGGTCAATAGTTCCAGGAATTCCCTATACATGGTTGCTAGCCACTCTTCTTAACATAGTTCCTGCTTCCACCAGATCCATGGTTTACCCACTCACAGCTTTCCCAGCCTAGGCTCCCTTCTCTATCCCAGCCTTTTCCTTTTCACCCACCCAGTATCTCCTTACTCTTCTTCATCTCTCCCCTGGATTGAGATATTTGATCTTCCCCTCTGGATCTTGTTTTCATTTTGTATTTACCCCATGCTAACCTCAATCCAGAACTCTGCCCTTCCTCTCCCACATCCCCATTTCTCAGCTATACCTAAAACTGAACTCCCATCTTTACCCCAACCTGGATTTTTCTCTTGACTTAATTATCTCTGACATTTTTTTCCCTAGCTCATAATTTTGAATCATTTTGACCTCTTCTGCTATATCTAAAATGTCATATAGATTTTTGAAACCTTTTTTTTAAAGAAAGCACAGTCTTATTTTGTCATTTTTTTCTGCAAAGCAGTATATCGTGGATTCACTGTTTATAAGATCATTGTATTTTTACATTAGTACGATAGCACCCAGCCTGTAAGCTCTGAGGGGTTGCAACAGCTTAGAACTCTGATCTTTCTCTTTAGTCTTGAACCCAGGCATGCTGCAGCTACCATTTCCTCCCAACCAATGTCTGTGTTTCCCCTTCCATTCTGTAACTACCACACTCACACAAATTCTTTATCCTCCTTTGTCTTGGGCACTTTGTCCTTGCCCTCCCTTTTGGTCTTCTACTTAAAGAATCCTCAGTTGGGGTGGAATTTTCATCAGTACTGCAGTCTCAGTCTCTTTCTCTAATTCTGGAAATTATTCTCTGGTAGTTTTGTACTTTCTTATATATACCACCTGCCTTTCTATATAAATGGTATATATTCCTAAAGCAGAAGCAACATTTTTGTTTAACAAATTGTTTCTACTCTAATCTAGATCCATTGCTAGAGAATTTCAAAGGGCTGACTTAGAATATATGCCAAATAAGTTGACCTACTAGGACACATGGCATCTTTCTGTATTAATTTTTAAAACTGCATGTGATGACCCACATGGTTACTCTATTTTTTATCTTTTGAGAAACCAATATAGTGTTTTATTTAGTAGCTACACCATTTTATGTTCCCACCATCACTGCATAAGGGCTCCAATTTCTCCACATTCTCACCAACACTTGTTTTCTTCCTTCCTTCCTTCCTTCCTCCCTCCCTCCCTCCCTCCCTCCCTCCCTCCTTCCTTCCTTCCTTCCTTCCTTCCTTCCTTCCTTCCTTCCTTCCTTCCTTCCTTTCCAGGGATTGAACTCAGGGACACTTGACTCGACCAGTGAGCCACATTCCCAGTCCTAGTTTATATTTTATTTAGAGACAGGGTCTCACTGAGTTGCTTAGTGCCTTGCTTTTTGTTGAGGCTGGCTTTGAACTTGCAATCCTCCTGTCTCAGTCTCCACAGCTGCTGGGATTACAGGTGTGTGCCATTGTGCCGGCCCTGTTTTTTTTTTTTTTTTTTTTTAATAGTGTGAGGTGATATCTCATGCCCCAGTGGATGCCTGAAGGTGTGGATAATACTGAGCCTTATAAACTCTATGTTTTTTTTTCTCTAATACACACCTATGAAAAATTTTAATTTATAAGTTAGACACAGTAAGAGATTAACAACAATTATAAAACAGAACAATTATAAAAATGCTGTAATAAAAGTTATGTGAATGTAATATCTTTTTCTTTATGTATTCTACTGTATTCATGCTTCTTTTTCTTGTGATGATGTGAGATTATACAATGCCTATGTGATGATATTAAGGTAGATGAATGACAGGTATTATGACATAGGTCTAAACTACTATGTAAGGGTTACTTGAACAAATACAAGTATCTTGTGATACTGTGACAGTTAATCTGAAAATTGAGACAGCTATTAATGGACTAATAAGTGGGTAGCATATATTGTATGGATATACTGAACAAAGAGATGATTCACAGGTGAGAGGGAGCAGGACAGTTTAAGATTTTGTCATGATCCTCATAATGTGACTTAAATCTTATGGATTATTTCTTTAATTTCCCATTTAATATTCTTATACTATATGTGGCCATGTTAATTGAAACTGCAGATAAGACTACTGTGTTGTGCTGTTGTTGGGCAGAATGTTCTGTATTAATAAGGTCAAATTGAGTGTTGTTCAACTTTTCTTTATTTCTACTGATTTCCTATCCTATTATTCTATCAATTTTTTGAGAAAAGAACATCAAACCAACTGTGGATTTATCTATTTCTTTCCATCAATTTTTAAATATATTTTGGAACTCTTATTTGGGGCATATATATTTAGGATTGTTTATCTTCCTGATTGATTTCTTCCACATTATGAAATGCCCCTCTTTAACAACTGGTAATATTCTTTGTTCTTTGATACTAATAGAGCAACTACACATTCTGTTCATTGGTGTTTGTAATATATTTTCCCAACTTTTAAAACACGTTTTTATCTTTATATTCAGCATGGGTTTCTTGTAGACAGCATGGAGTTGGGTCTTATTTTTGAAAATTGATAAACTTTGTCTTTTTATTGAGGTAACAATTCACAAAATATAGTTTAATAATTTTAAAGTATGGAATTCAGTATAGTCAGAATCTTGTGTAATTATTATGTTTATCTAATTCCTCAACATTTTCATCACCCTGAAAGGACATTAAGTAGTCAGGACACATTTTCTCTTTCACTAAAACACTTGAGACCGCTAATTTGCTTTCTATAGATTTAATTATTTTGGACATTTCATATAAATAGAATAATACAATGTGTGACTTTTTGTCTAGATTTTAAAATTTTACTTAAAGTTTTCAAGGTACATACACGTTTAGTTTGTACCAATATTCACATTTTTTATTGCTTGCAATTTACTTGTTCATGATACTAGGTTGTTTACCCATTACTCTGTATTTTGTTGGTTATATCCATGTCAAGTTTTTAAACAAGAAATTTGTGTTTTATATTTCCTGTAAATTACTAGCTGTATCTATAGACCTGATGAGAATCACAGGTGATTTTTTTTTTTTTTGCCAAGTGACTTTATAGGTGGTGCTAAACATTTCCATCAGGGATAAAGTCTGGAAATTCTTCATTTTATGAATTTAGTTATCATAAATAATCATCTTTTACATTTATTATTTTTTGGGGAGTTTGCAAGATGCTGAGTATTTTAAGCTGAATCGTATCTCCTCAAATCAATGCATTGAAGATCAAACCTCGGTACTTTGTAATAGGAATATATATTTGGAGATAGGAAATTTAAGGAGATGAATCCTGGATAGTGGGCCCTAATACAATACTTATAAGAAGAGAAAATTAGGTCTCAGGAAAGGACATCAGGAGCACATGTGCACAGAGGGAAGACCATGTGAGGAGGCAGTAAGAGGGTAGCCATCTGCAAGCCAAGGACAGAGGCCTCACCAGAAACCAACCCTATTGGCATCTTTATTTTGGACGTACAGTCTCCAGAACTGTGGGAAAATAAACTTCTGTTCTTTAAGTCACCCAGTCTATAATATTTTGTTACAGCAGTCCTAGCAAACTAACACAAAAGTATTCTGATTTCATCACTCCTACTTTGCTTATTAGCTAGATTATATCTAGGAAGTGTAATCTTACATTTAAAATGCTGGATTGGAAACTGGAAAGGCCATTGATTTGGATTTGATTTAAAGTTATTCACATCCTTAATTTATCGCTGAGTCGGAAACAGAAGGATTAAAAAGGGGTACAAAAACCCAGGCATTTGTATTTGGCAAAAGTGAAGTGTTGTGGTTTGATGAGTCCTTTTTCTTGTGGAGTCTTGCTGAATATTCAGTGCTTAATGTCCTCATGCAGAATGAATAATCCATCAGCAGAGAAGCCTGGAATAATCATCTTTTTTTTTCTTTTTTACTTTTAGGGCTTTAGAGTGGTAGAATAGAATAGAAAATTCTCTTAATATTTGGGAATTTTCATTATTATCATGTAAATAAATTTTTGCTGTGCCATGAGTATATACTTCTCTGTTCTATTTATTTCTTTACCACTAGTCCCAGAACAGGCTTGGACTTGTGATGCCACACCTTGACAAGGGACTTAGACATTAATTTATATTCAATAGAAAGCTATTAGAGGACTTTAAGTGGCTAAGATCCTACTTTGTACTGGAGGAGACAATCTGCCCTGGGTACTTAGTGCCCATAAACATTCTTGCTGATTGTGACAAGAATGCCATGTCCTGGGACCTCTTTTGTTAGGTTGTGCCTAAGGGTTATGTTTGTAGAGAGAAATCTTGAGGATGAGGTAATGTTCTATGTTCTCCAAGACACAGAACAGACTTATTGCTACTTACTATAAAACTGGTAAGTCCCCTAAATTAGGTGGTCTTCTCCTGTAACATACTCATGGAGGCCCATCTGTGTCACTCCATGAAAATTGGGGCCAGGAGGAACCAATGTGAACATGAAGCTCCAAGCATTACTTTTCTGTGAATAATTTCTTTTTCTCTGAACCAGGGGTCTTGTGTTTTTTTGCCAGCTTCCTTAAAACAGTAATGGACTGATGAGCTTATAAGTAGGGTAAAATTCCAGATCCTTCCACCTATCCAGTTTTTTATATGTTCACTCATCATATCAGTGAAAAGAAAAAAAAGAATAACTCCTTGTGAAGATACCGGAAAAAAATGTTCTGATACAGTGTTATAGCCTTTTTTGGAAAACAATTTTATAATATCTATTAATAAAAAAGCATATATGCCATTTTACTCAGATATTTCATTGCTGGAAATCTATGCCATACATATAAATACTCTGCATAAAAATATAAAAGTACTCATTAATGCACTCATCAGAGTTGTGACTGTTAGTAACAACATAAACATAAACAACAACCTTTTAGGAAAAAATTTAAAGTTAAGGAAAAGAATAATTATGTCTCTACCTGATCTGAATATTCTTATCATATAGTTAATTCCCATGATATATTGTTAATTGTATCATGTATTATTAAAAACAAATTCCAAGAAAAAACATTGTAGTGTAACCTCAATTTTTTTTTGTGGGATAAATCACCAAAACCATGTATAAATGATTCTGCAAACAGAAGTGAAATAAGGAGACACACTAATCTATTGAAGATGATGACATCTCTTGAGGTAGGTCTTGGGGGTAGAAAACAAAAGAAGAAAATTAACACATAAGCTGAATTATTCCCCACCCAAACTTTTGTGTAAGAACATGACTGTATTTCAGGGTAAGGATTTCAAAGAGTAATTAATGTAAAATGAAGGTGGGCTAATCCAATCTGATTAGTGTCTTTGTAAGAAGAGGAGATTAGGACACAGACACAGACAGAAAATAAAGACATGAATACACAGGAAGAAGACCTTCATCAGATGAAGACCTTCTGATGAAGACACTGATCTTTTTCTTTCTTCCTCAGGAAAAAAAACCAAGCCTGCTGACATCTTGCTCTTGGAGTTTAGGCACCAGAACTATGAAGAAATACATTTCTGTTGTTTAAGCCACCCAATCTACAGTATTTTTGTATCCTAGTTATAGCAAACTATGTGCTATCCCATAGTTTCTGTGTTCACTCCACCCTTCTTTGTCAACCCTGATGCTAACTTGAACTCTGCTTCATAGGGACCAGATACCATAGTCCTAGAGCTGACCCAGAGAACAGGGCCCTCTTTGTTTATTCCTAGTCACAATCATTATGTTCTTTAACTCCACATTCTTATTTCACTTGCTAATGGAAGCTCACATTTTTTCTCATTTTATTTTACAGGAAATCCAACTCTTTCAAACCATCCATTATTTTAGTAGCATAAAGTAAAGGCTCTGATAAATGTCCATTAACAAGATTGATTCTTTGCCATAACCTCTTCTCCAGCACTAGGAGGTGAAAGAAAGTAGAAGTTTATTTTTCCAGTGATAGAATTCAAGCGCCCACCCCCCAACTCCCCTACCATTTTCAATGAATAAGTGGCTACCTTCAGTTTTCTGGTGGAAATTAAAAAAATCTTATTTAAATCTTTAAAAAAAATCCTGTGAGGTATTATTATTATTATTTTTTTGTGAGGTAGCATTATTGTCCTCCCTTTTGAATAAAAACATTAAAGTTTAAGGAGGTGAAGGAAGATCCCCAAAGTTACCCAACATGTATGTGGATGATCTCAGAAAGTGTCATGAACACCCACCATGTTCATAATATCCTTTTCACCCATTCTTTGTTTAACCTATGAGTGTTGGTTTCTGCCCTACACTTCTCTACTGAAACTTCTAAAACTTTCTTATGACTTGTTGATTCTTAAATTTCTAGGTGATTTTAGTTGTCAAGTTCTTATTATTTTGACTTTTGTGTCTTTAACCTGGGATACCAAGAAATGTACCTGTTCAGATTCATTGACATCAGATATTCTCTCTAGTTTTTATTCAAGGCCCTGGTGTCCAGTGGGCAGAGACAGTTCTTTTCCACAAATCCACATCTGTTTCTCTATTCTCTCCAATCCTGGAATTCCTTATATTCTATGGTAGGATTAAACCAATTCCTAGAATAGTCAAATATACTATCCATATAAGCTTTAATCACAAAATAAAGGTCTGATGTTGGTATATTCTCCAAAGCCTGAGCTTATATCTTATCACATATTTTTAAATGAAACAATAACAGTAGGTTCCCCTTAATGTGATAAATATTAAACCCAATTTACAATTCTAAAACTTGAATGTTTTCTGTACAGAAGTAATTATGACACTGATGTAGATGTAATTACAACAAATCATATTGCATAGAACTTTGTTTCAGGGTTACCATAAATAAACTTTATTTTTGCTTTCTTGTTTTTCCTTGACTTTTAAAATTTTTTTTATTCTTTATAATTATAGATGATAGTAGAATCCATTTTGATGTAATTATATAAGCATGGAATATATCTTATTCTAGTTAGGATCCTATTCTTGTGGATGTACCCAATGGTGGGATTCACCGTTGTGTTTTCATATACATATATAGGAAAATTATGTCAGATTCATTCCACAGTCTTTTTTTTTCCTATTCCCCGTCATTCCCCATTATCTAATCTACTGAACTTCTATTCTTTCCTTTACCACTCCCCCACCCCTTATTGTGGGTTAGTTTCTACATATCAAAGAAAACATTCGACATTTGGCTTTTTGGGACTAGCTTATTTCACTTAGCACGATAGACTCCAGATCCATCCATTTTCTGGCAGATGTCATAAAATCATTCTTCTTTATGGCTGAATATACGTGTATATATATATCCCATTTTCTTTATCCATTCATCTTGTTTTTTTTAATAAAATGACATTCCTTTAGGTATTAGATCACTCTTATTTTCTATATCTCTTGTAACATCATTTGTTTCATCAATTCTAAGTCCACTCTCAGGAGGGATTTAAAGGTATATTTTTTTTAAAGAGAGAGAGAGAGAGAGAGAGAGAGAGAGAGAATATGAATCTTTTTTGTAGATGGACACAACACAATGCCTTTATTTTTATGTGGTGATGAGAATAGAACCTGGGTCCCGCCCGTGCTAGGTGAGTGCTGTACCACTGAGCCACAATCCCAGCCCTAAAGGTGTATATTTATATGAAAATCTATCTGAGGTCTTGAGAATATTTTTTATAACATCTCCCATTTGAATAATACTTTGTTGTATATACATTTTAAAAAATTGCCATATTAGCTGATCTAAATAATCTTGGGAAAATGGATTTTATAAAATAAAAGTCTAGAGAAGTATACATAAATGACTATATTTGAGTTAATTAGGTTTTTCCCATGGGGTTATAGATTAACAGTTTGAAGTCGTCATATATATATATATATATATATATATATATATATATATATATACACACACACACACAGGGATCAAACAATTAAATAAATGGAGGTGAGATGGCAGGAGCCATGCTTCTTACTTTTGGAGTAGGGGTTACATGTAAGCAAGAGGATGAGAACTGAATGATCCTGCAGTAATAAATTTTAATTAGAAATAATCAGTATGAACTCATATCACAGTATAGATACATAGAGAAATATATGTATATACACAAATGTATATTTTATTGCTCTATCAGCTGAGAGGGCTAGAACGAGTAGCATGCTGGTAGCAATGAGCTCACCCAGTGTCCAGATCTTGTTTTCTAAAACCAGTATTTGATAAAAGGAACTTGAGTTCTTTGAAGAAATAAATGAATCTTGGACTAGGGCAGAAAGTGAATAAGATTATCTTCTAGTGCCAGAAATTAAGGAAGTTCCCCCAAATACCCTTAATGATAGGCTATGTCAAAGAGATGCAGGATCCAATCACAAAAACTTACCATGCCCAATGCTGGAACAATTTGAGCAACAAAAGTAAGTAAAGCCCCATTGGACTATAACCCAAACTATAAAACAAATACCTTCAAGTCCAAACTAACTTAAATAAATGATTGAATAAATAAGTGGCAAGAGTAGATAATTTCCCACACAGAAAAATTCCAAATAATACATGCATAATTTTGCCTTTAAGTAGATGGATAATTCCTACGTATTATATGTGAGCTACAAAAAGTGTTCCTTTCAAAGATTACCATAGGGAAAGGGTGGGAGAAAGTAATTTTAGAGAGGGGAAATCTGATAAACCCTCTCTTGGCCAGTGTTTACAGTATCTGACATCAAGATTAGTAAGTCATGTTTAAAGTAAGTGTCCCTGATATGATATGATAAGAATAGCTTTTTACACCTATGACCTCCCCCAAACCCATAATCCCTGACTAATCAGGGAAACACTCAACAGGGCTGGGGTTGTGGCTCAGTGGTAGAGCGCTTGCCTAGCATGTGTGAGGCACTGGGTTCAAGTCTCAGCCCTGCATATAAATAAATGAATAAAATAAAGGTTCATCAACATCTAAAATTATATTAAAAAAGAAAAACACTCAACAAATTCCAATCATTAAAGGTTCTATAAAATACTTAACAAACACTCCTCAAATCATCAATCATCAAAACCTAGCCAGGGGAGGCAGCATATGCCTGTAATCCCAGTGGCTCAAGAGGCTGAGACAGGAGGATCACAAATTCAAGTCTAGCCTCTCCAACTTGGCAAGGCCCTAACTTAGTGAGAACCTGTCTCAAAAAGAAAAAAAAAAGTTGTGCTCCATTTTTGTATAATGTGTCAAAATGCATTCTGCTGTTATGTATAACTAATTAGGACAAATTTAAAAAAAAAGAAAATAAAAGAGCTGGGATGTAGCTCAGTGGTTAAGTGCCCTGGGTTCAATCCCTGGTAACAAAAACAAATAGACAACAACGGGGGAAAAAAAAAAACCATAGAAAGTCTGAGAAATCTTCATAGACAACAGAAGCCTAAGAATTCATAAAGACTAAATGTCTTAAATATCATGGATAGGATCCTGGCAGACAAAAAGAAATTAGATAACAGACAACAAAATCCTGAATAAAGAATAGACTTTAATAATAATGTATCCACATATGTTGAATAATTTTAACAAATGTACCATACTAATATAAAATGTTCACAATAGGATAAACTGGGTGTGGGTATATACTGGTTATGGGAATGCTCTCAGATATCTTAGTAATTCTGTATATAGTGTTCAATGCAGGTGCCAAACTTCACATTTCTTTATCAACTCGTCTCTCAAGAAAGAGGTTTGTGTAGCACTGGGCAACTCAACAGCGATCTGTAATTTTGCTTCTAACTCTGGGACATGAGGATAATTAAGCTTGCCCAGATAATGTAGGGGAGAGACAAGATGAGAACAAATACCTTTCCTCTGTGAATCATAATATTCTAAAACAAATTTATTTTAAAAATGTACTCCACTACATTATAGTGTTCAATGTAGGTGCCAAAAATTGGAAAAGCCTAAATCTTCTCTATTTCTAAATCTTCAGCTCTACCTCTTTGGAAGCCTTTAGAATGTTCTCTTTGTGTATGATATTTTAAAATTTTCTTTAATATTTTCAGGTGTGGGTGATTCTATCTCTTTTTTGTCACTGGATAAGCCCTTTGGGTGTGATGTCTTTACCCTTATCTCATGCCTTCTTGAAGAGTTGTTTATTGCAAAACTCCACCAGGTCGATGGGTTCTTCAGTTCAATCCATCCTATTATATGCATCTAGTGCATTCTTTGGGTCAAATGTTTTATATTTTTCATATAAAATGTTGTATGATCATTTTTTATGTTTGTTCATGATACTATCTTTCCTTATCTTTTTAAGTATATTTATGATGCCCATTTTAAACTGTCTAATAATTCTGCTTCAGCAGAAAGTATGGTTTGGTTTGTGTCTTTCTTTTACAGTATATCCTCAGATGTTTACTTTAACTTTTAAGCTTATGTTATTCCAAGTAGATTAGCTACGCTACCTAGAAATACATATCAAGGAAGGGTTAAGACCAAGGGCTGATTTTCAGTTTCCACAAGTTTAAGAAATGGAAAGATAAACACTAACACAGGAAACCTCAGACACCACTTTAGCTAACACATCACTACATAATTTCCCTTATAGAAATTTTACCATTAAACCCTTAGGAAGAAGAACATTGTGAAAAGGCAACTTCTCCAGTGTGTTATTCAACACCCTTGGTGTTTCAGTGGCATAGGAATAGAAATATTTCAGGAATCTGGTCAATTTTCACGTTTTTTTTAAAAATTTATTTTTTAGTTGTAGTTGGACACAATACCTTTATTTTTATGTGGTGCTGAGGATTGAACCCACGTGTCAGGTGAGCACTCTACTGCTGAGCCACAACCCCTGCCCAAACTTCACATTTCTTTTATCAACTCATCTCTCAAAAAAGACGTTTGTGTAGCACTGGGCAACTCAACAGCGATCTGAAATTTTGCTTCCTACTCTGGGACATGAGGATAATTAAGCTTGCCCAGATAATGCAGGGGAGAGACAAGATGAGAACAAATACCTTTCCTCTGGCCACTTTTTCCATTGCAATCTCCTACTATTTCTCCATTCCCAGCCGTAACCACCCACCTCCCACTACACATGAATTAAAGCTAACTTAAATATCTTAGAATTTCCCCTAGGTTTTGTTGTTTATTGTTATTTTAAAAATGTTTGTTAAGTCCTGAAATCCATGTTTTTGCTTGTCTTCTGCAACCAAATTTAGAAATCATTTAGATTATAATCAAGACTTTTGGCATCTTATTTAAGAAAAACATCCTCATATAAACTACTGAAACTATTTTCCTAATAATTTCAAAGTTTTGTTTTAGATATTAAAGGCTTAATTCATCTGCTTGTATATAAGGTGTGGTTAGGGTTCAAGAAATTTTCCATGTTGATAATCACTTATATGCTTCATTTATTGATCTTTTCCTCTTTTCTCTCTTAATATATCACTTCTGTAATGTCAAAATTCCATACATATGTGGATTTGTGTCTTGGTTTTCTACTCTATTCTGGTGTTCAAGTTTTCTAGTTCTGTGCTAATATCGCTCTGTCTTCATCACTTGATAGTTAAATTGCTTGTAAATATTTTATATTGTTGGATTCTGTTATTATTGGTACCATTCTGATTTTAATTTCTAAATTTTAATGATATGTATAGAAATAAGTGGGCTTTCTTTTGATATTAAATCTTGCATCTTTCTGAATTCACTTATTATTTCTAGGACTATTATTTTAGATTCTTTAGGATTGTCTACATTGGTGATTGTTTCAAAATTGAATAAAGTTTTTTTAATTTCAAGTTTATGCATCTCGTTTCTTTTTGTTTTCTTGTTTCATTAGTTCTTTTTAGTTATAGATGATAGTGTAATCCATTTTGACATAATTGTACAAGCATGGAGTACATCTT